ATTCCAAGTTCGAAGATGATTATCTTCCGAAAGCTGTATCCGTACAGATGACTTGTAGAAAGATAACGTCAAAAACAGCAGAAGGTTCTGATTGTTTACGATTATTCGACGACAAAAACACCGGAGTGGACAAAATGAAGTTGAGTCTCAAGCGAACGGACGAAATCATGAATACGAAAGTGTATGATAAGAGAATCAATGAAAAACTTCAAGGTAAGTCAAAAAATCGACACGGAGAGTTGAAAAATGCAGATAAAAATTTGACGGCATGTTCGACTCAATCAAGTACAAAAAGCGTGCGGAAACACACAGACGGAAAAATGGAAAAAAAAAACAATGGGAGTACATGGTAGATCAAGAACATTTGATAGCTGTGTTAAGCCCATCTGTGGAAGTACAATAGTTCCGAAAAAGAAGATAGTGAAGAATAGCGGAAATTTAATCCGTGAAAAATTTACCAAAAGGTAATATTTATTAAAAATTGTTAATGTATGGAACAGTGAAAACTGTATACCTACCTAAAATTACTGTTTTTAATTTAGTTGTATTGAAAACGTCCGAGACGGACAGCCGAAATAAAACTGTATCTACCGTCAAGCAAAATAGCTTTAAGATCCAATCGACCAAATTGAAAAAGCCCATTGGCGTAAACAAAGAAACTTAACTAACCTCTGTAAACCATTTCGCATCTTTAGCGGTGAAAGATGAGAACTTACATTTATTTATTTATTTATTTATTGCCGCGTGGAGCCTAAATTTAATACCTATTCCCGGTTCACTCCTTCTCTATGCCACTGATATCAATTGTTACATTTGAAATGCATATGTTTGGCAGTCAGGTATATTACAAAGATAATGGTTTATTTTTGGAAACCCTCAGCCCAAAATTCGATTTTATATGAATTTTGAAATAGAATATGTCAATGTACGTCCATAGAGATGGGATTTCTTTGACAAATCGATGGTTATGAAACTGGAACGAATGCTAGATCTTACCCATTATCAGATCCTTCTCACCACACGGTCTTCCGAGGGTCTCGGAGATGATACTTAGGTCTTATAGTGAAATTATATAGTCTTATACCTCCACAGCTTTCCTTTTCCTTATATAGGTAATTTTTTGTTCGATCTGATACACAGGGTAATTATACACTTGTAGTACTGAATTTATCTGATCAATTGATATTTGATGAGGCTTAAACAAACATCCATTTGTTCTTGAACGCCACAAACATAAGTTAATGATATAGTCATCGAAATCGTTTTCAGTAAAGGACATAAGCCTAAATAGTACTTTTCCGTACTCCGGGTATAAGATATTAATGATTGGATTTGAGTTTTTAATCCATGATCCAACGAAATCGTTAACCTCATGATATTTTGGTGGTTTTTGAAAAATTATTAAGAATATGCACTTCACCGTATCCACTATCCCACCTCTTGCATCGCTGGATTTTAAGCTCGTACCATACCATATTAGGTCTTCTGGCGTTACATCGGTCACCAATATCCCCAGTTTATACGCGACGAATTCTCTAAATACAATGGCAATCTTCCGGATTACCGGAAACTGAATAAATATTTACAAATATTAAACACCTCATATTTTTATCAAGTTTAAATTTAAGTTATGATTATTTAACATTATTTTTAATAGAATTCTTTAAATTTGGTTGCTGTTTAATTAAAATTTAATGTAGTTACGTGGTATTTACTAAAGTTTTTGCGAGATACGTGTTATTGAGCAGTGCTTTAATATGGTTGAAATATATAAAAATACAAAATAATATACCCGATTTGGAGGTAAAATAATTCATTTTAGGTTATTGCACAGAAAATTAATTTTGTGCGCAAGGAGATAATAAATATTTTGATACCAAAAACTCATTTTATGTAAAATTTCAGATACGTGGTATTGCCATTAGTGTAACAATACATTCTCAGGCCTCGTTCGATCCTCTCCGACGCCCCCGTCCGTGTGGATGTTGCGGACGAATCGAGAGCAATGATTACTATTCTTCTTCTCCTCCGGCTTTCTCCCGACTATTTGGGGTCGGCCACCCTTGTCCTAAACCTCTATTCGTCTCGTTTTTCTACATCTCCCGCGCGCAAACACCAAACGGCTCTCATTCTGTTCCCAATCGTATCGTAATAATTACTCTATATTTATTATTCATTATTATTACAATTATTGTTATTATTTATTTATATGAATTATTGATACGTAATGTAGTGCAACGTCCGTCGACGATTGTATAGTACGTACTCTTCGCCGTTGCTCCGTGTTTCGTCTCGAACGTCCATCGATTTGCACGAGCATTTCAATACGTTACGTACGTCGTAACTATACACTGCACGGTACATTATACACGCTTGTAAGTACTTGTGCGTGTGTGTGTGTGTGTGTGTGTACCGATGAAACTTGTTTTTAATTTCATCACTTTTTCGCGTGGACTTTTTAATAACAATAATGATATTATTCGGTTTTTATACCGGAGTAGATGTACAATCAAATCTTCGTTACAAATGTATTATTATAGACGTTGTTGAGTAATATTCCCGCGACGATATTATTATGATTTATACTACTGTTGTAGTAGGGTTCAACTCAAACGAATACCTTCCAGCGACCACGAAACGAGGAAAAAGGTTACACCCCCGTTTGAAAATTACATGTTCTTAAACCGTAACTTGAAAAACGCTTGAACCGTATGTATTTATTTAAAGGTACTACGGTTCGCAAGTTCAAAACACGTAAGACAATCATAATGCTACAATATTTCGAAATCGCTCTTATATATTAATGGTTGGAAAACAATTTTTATTATTACTATTATTATTATTGTTAAAGCGCGTTTCACGATTATGGTTAGTACAACAATGGCTGTAACTTGCTCGTTATTGCCGTATAGTTTTAGATTTAGAACATTATGTCTATACACTATCACATTAATATCGTCGGACATATATTAAACTTTCTCGATTTCAGTTCTTTTTACGTCCACAAAATCATTCATATAGTTATTTTACATATTTTGAGAGTCAACACCAGCGGCTACACAAGATTATTACAAAAACGTTGTCAACTCAAGAGAGTTTTCAACGTCGATCATTCTCGCTTTATTAAAAAAATGGTTTTATTCATTAGCATCGATAATTACGGCTCATCGGTCCATTCTTGTTTTAAGTTTTCTGGTATCATTAATTAAACTTATAGATGAAAACCACAACGGACTATAACTTTAACCACTACCGTGATTATGTACAAATACATAAACTAAAACAGATAATATATTAAGTACAACGGTACTACTTAAATTTCTAACCAATGCCGGCGCTAGAATTTTCGAGGCCCTGGGCGAAATACATTTCATGAGGGCGCGAGGTCCTTGTGCATAGAAAATACATAATAATTAATATTAAAGTTCTCACGATACTTTAAAATAAATTCCTCCTCCCTCTCCCAAAAAACATGAATTTTTAGTTTATATAATTTATAATAAAAAATTTAATTTTTATGAGAAGTACTATTACTGGTATCATATAGTTCTTTTAAAAATTCAATCATTTTATTTAAAGTTATATTAAGTTATAATTAGTTTTATATTTTAATTAAACATATTGTATAATTACAATTATTATTACATATGATGTACATGTTTCATACTATTATTACTTAAATTTAATTTTTCTACTTTTTTCTGTTGCGAAGTTTTCAACGAAGTTTAACTATAGTTGTGTTTATAGTATATAGTTGTTTATTAATTTGACTACATTATAAATTTGTAATTACCTAATACTTTTGACAGCAGATTACAGACCGCGGTTTAGAGCGAGAATCCGTAGAATCCGTATAAAATTGTCTGGTGGACGGTGTTGTGTTGCATGTAATTCAGCAATAATTGAGTAATGAATATATTATGAACAATTTTACTTATTCTTATGATATAAACGCCAAACGGGTTTACGAGTATAATATTATAAATATAATCGAAAAATAAAATAATCAGTGATTATTTTACACACAAAAATGACTAACTGCGAAATGGGATCCTCGACAGTAATTTACTATTAACTATGTATAGACAATAATATATTTTATTTGTTTCTTACTAAGTTTTTATCTATATATTATTCTCGGTCATTCGACCGCACGCCACCCTATTAATAATGAAAATAGATAAAAGAGTAATAATATTAATTTCTATCAAACTATATAAATAGATAATAATAACAACAGGGCTGCGCTAATTGACATTTTATGAACCAAATGTGGTATATACATTTAATATTAGATACTTGGTATTTAAGCTATTTTATTATAAAACCAAAATACAAAACGAAGCAGAAACCAAGCAGTTTCATAAATATACTCGCAGGGGCGGACTGGCCTGACGGGACACCGGGACAAATCCCGGTGGCCTGGTACAATAATAGATTAAATGACCTGATAATATTTTAGAAATTAAAAATATAGTATACGAATAAACATAAAAATATAATAAACATAATGCATATGGTAGATATTACTATTATTATTAATCGTGTGATTTGAAATATTATATTAATCGATAACAATTTATACGATGTACCGTCTGTAGTCTGTACCCATGTACGAAATATATACACAGATATAAATATATAATATAAGCGATAAGCCGAACAGCTTGTTTAGTGATTTATTTATAAATTATAAACTATTATATTATTATATATTTATATTTATACTTGTACCGCCGTCGTGCGTCATGTCGGCGCGTCGCCGCCACACGACACACAGAGCGCTGATACTCGCACTAATCGCAGTCCGCAGATAGCAAAAACATTGCTGTAATGTAATGTAAATAGGTTGTCTCCGTATTTTATTTTATTTTGTTTACGTTAAATTATACAATATTATAGTTAACTGTATTGTCTGTACTTATACTATAATGTTATAGAAACATTATACATTAAAGTCTTCCACAAAGGTGTTTTGAATTTATTAAATATTATTTAAAATGAATTCAAAGGATAAAAAACGTGCTGGTGGTGCTGCTAGAGAACGTGAAAAAAATAAAAAACTTCTTTTAGAATCAAGCAAGAATTGTAAAAAACTTAATTTATTTTTTAATTCAGCATATTATGAAAAACAAAATAGTGAAAATCCCGTTAAAACTGAAGAACTAAGCTCAGGTATGCATAATATATTATGTATTATGTAGTAAATTTAAATAATTTTATATTGTTTATTAGTTTCTTTTTCCTTTTTCCTATTTATGATTTTTATATAATTGTCTTTGAAAATATTGATAGGTACTTCCTTTCATGAAAATACTGAAAACATATCAATGTCTGAAAATGATGACATAGTTGATTCTAATTCTGGTAAGTAACTACCACCATGGTCATCATACGAGTGATACATTTTAATAACAAAAATAAATACTAACAAATACATGTGAAAGCTAAATTAGTATGTAATATTAACCCATCGTAGCGGCGTAATATGGTGGGAATTACTTTAATTTTCAATTGAAGGGCTTGTTGCAAAAACTAGATAAATCCACTTTTTGAAACTGTCCAGGGCAAAGAAAATTATTTTTAGTGACTAAATACTTGTTAAAAATAATTTTTTTCTAGTTTGTTTATTATTATTTGTATAATTATTCACAATATTGTAAACTTTGAATAAAAAAAAAAAAATTTGGGGATACTATTTGTTTGTCAAAGTTGAGGGGAGCATGGATTTATCTGGTTGTTGCGCTTAAGTGTATTAATTTTTATATTATAACTTAAGTAATTTATTTATATATCCAATATCAGAAGCATTTTCAATGTTATTTTTATTTATAATTATTAATCAACACATTAAGCCATAACGTTACTTATTTCATGAACTCGATATGATTATATGAAATTTGTCCTTTTTTTTAGAAGTTCTATGTTCGACATCTGAAAGTCCTCCAGTAGTATTTAATAAGTTTATAAAGCCAAGTTCAACTGTTTTATCTAATTTCTTCAAGTACCACCCTTGTCAACCAAAAGATCCCAGCCTCCCATTCAATTCAAATAAGATTTTTCTTCGAGAAAACGGAACAAATCGTGTATGGCTAACATTTGATGAATCATCAAAACAACTATTTTGTTTAGTTTGTTCGGCTTTTGCTTCTGAATCGAATTAATTTACTAAGGGGGTATCTGATTGGAAACATGTTCATCAACGAATCAAGGAGCATAAGAGTAGCATAGTTCATTCACTCTCTTCCGAATCTTATTTCCTAAAAACTCAAAACAAAGATATAGATTCACTGTTATTTTCAAATTTACAAAATATAAAAAAAATCGGCAAATTTTTGAAAGAATTATCGCTGTTATAAAATTAATCGGAAAAAGAGGCTTAAGCTATAGAGGTAAAAGAAATAAATATGATCCTATCATTTGCGAACACTTCAATACTATCATCAATAAAAGTGAAAAGAAACAAAAACAAAATACGAGAGGCCGTGGAAGCTTTTTAACTTTTTTATCCAAAAATACGGTTCAAGTCGTTATAAATGAAATAGCATCAAACATTAAACGTACAATTGCTACCGAAGTCCAAAATGCTTCATTCTTTTCTGTTCTTATTGATACTACCCAAGATGTTTCAGTAATGGATCAATGTTCAATAGTTATTAGATACGTTTTTCACGGTACAATTAATGAAAAATTAATTGCTGTAAAGTGTGTTCATAATTCAAGTGGTAAAGGTATGGCTGAACTGCTAAAAGAGGAATTGATTTCTGTTGGCTTGGATTTAACGAAATGTATAAGAAATTCTACTGATGGAGCGTCCAATATGCGAGGAGTATATAATGGTTTCACTTCATATTTAAGTAAATTATCGCCTGAACAAGTTCATGTTTGGTGTCATAGTCACGTTTTAAATCTTGTTATTTGCGATACAACAAGAAATCCTGTCCAAGTAACATCATTTTTTACTTTATTAAATAGTTGTGCGGTATTTTTCAAAGAATCATATTTGAGGATGGATATTTGGAATGAAGTTAGCAAGACAAATTCAGATAACAGTCGAAATAAGCGTCTTCAAACCATTGGGGAAACTAGATGGTCATCAAAACAGACTGCTGTTGAGAGAATTTTCGGAACATTTGGAGATCCAAAAAGTTCTATATATGTAGACTTGATAATTGCTTTCACTAAAGTTGTTCAAGGGGAAAAATTTAAACCTGATATAAGAGCAAAAGCAAACAATTATTTAGATTTACTATTACAGTATGAGACTATTTTGACAGCACACATATTTATGAATGTTTTTAGTATAACGGGCCCACTATCTAGATATCTACAAACCAGTGGATTAGACCTTCTGAAATGTCAACTAATGGTAAAATCTGCACTGAGTCAAATAGTTAAGTACCAAAGAGATATGGAAAATATTATAGCTAAAAGTGATACATTTGTCGAATGGGTAAATAATCAACTAGAATTGCAAGATTTGGATAATGCAATTTATCTCCAAGAACAATTCGAAATCAAACGATTAAGGAAAAGAAAACGAATGACTGATGAATTATTAAACGATGACCCAATTAATGATGCGAAACAAAAATATACTGTTGAAGTTCATAATCAGGTGATGGATAGAATAGTTGAAAGTATGAATTCAAGATTTGTAAACAATAGTCCTTTATACATGGATTTATCACTTCTATCCCCAGTCAACTTTAATAGTTTTAAACATGGTTTACCAAAAACAGCCTTGAAAGCTCTCTCTAAAAATTTAATCTGATTTACAGTCAGTGATAATTTGGAAGAATTCTATCAAAAATTAAGAGAAGAATTAGTAAGTTTTAGTAATAATTGGGATAACTTAAAAAAATCAGTTGAAGACGAATATGATTTTGAAAATTTCGATTCAGAAGATGAATATCAAGAAGCTGAAGAAACTGCCGGATTAAATATGACCTGTAAAACATGCAAAAATTGTGCTTGTTGCTGTTTAAAGTTATTAGTAAAATACAATTTATATAGTAATGCGTATACAAATTTTTTTTTGGCTTATAATTATCTTTCAACTCTACCGGTAACACAAGTAGCATGTGAGAGGTCATTTTCAACTCTAAAATTCATAAAAAATCGATTACGAAATACTCTAACTAATGAGTATTTGGAAGCGTTTATGTTGATGTCCGTGGAAAAGCGAACATTAGTATCTATAGATGACGATATTATAATCGACAGAATTGGGGAAACTAGTGAAGTTATGAAAAAAGACCTAATTATGTAAAAAAAGGAAGTACTTTAAGAGTTAATTTTAATATATAGGTATTATATTAATTTGTATACACTGTATCTATAAAAAAATATCTTATATATTATGTGTGGTTTCATATATCTTACATAAAATTTTGAAAATTTTTTTTAAATAATAAAGGTTTTTTATCATTATTATTTTTTTTTTATTTTGCACACTTATGACCAAATCGTTGGTCCCCTATTAATTTTTGGCCTGGCAAAAAAAAATTCCCGGCCTGAAATATTAACTCAGTCCGCCCCTGTATACTCGTACTTATTTCTGTACTGAAATATTATTATGAATAGACACTGAAAAAATACCCAGACGGCCAAACACGATATGTTCCGATATTGTATCATAAACATATTAATTGTAACATAATATGTAAGTACTATGGCGCGATGCCCTGGGCGTGGGCCCGGCTCGTCCGGCTCTAAATCCGGCCCTGATTCAAACATCACCAGATCAATAGCCATCCAATTACAACTATCCGCAAACCGATGACTCCTTGAATTGCTCATTTCGAAATGTGTAACACGTTTAACGTTTGAATGTCGTAAACTTCATCTAATCCGAATAGAAGGAATATGATTATTTGAGTGGCAACTGATTTTTGACTCGTCAAGTTTTGAAATACCGGTATTACACTCTATACAACTTATGCAAATCACGCAAGTATAATGGCGACATTTCGTATTACGTTTGTGAATTGTTATACTACATAATAGACGTCAACTGTGCGCACAGCAAACGATTGCTGCAGCAAGTTCGTACACGTGTACGACCGTCCACAGAAATTAACTCATCTATTGTGCCGTGCTATGTGTGCGTGCGTGCGTCCGTTTAATATAATAAACGCAGGTTTTACATTCCTTTGTAAACATACATGTGACTGTAAAAATTCAAAACGCGCGTAGTGAATTTCTCGACATTTATTATAACAGCGTACTACGTTATTGTGTCATGTAGTCTGGTGGTATGACTCGAATTCGACGCGGAGCGAATCCTGGTCCCGAGTACAATATACCATAATATAATAAGAGTGTATATTACACGTATTTTATATTGTTACACACGGACGGGCCGAACTCTAAACGCTCGTTTTTATCGGTTTCGGTTAAACGCACGTGTACGCGAGTTGCACTACTCGTTTATCGAAAGACGTTCCAAGTGCTAAACGTGGCGCGTACAGAAGTGTATCGAATTATTGAACTAGGGGCTTTTGCATGGGTACATGAATGCACGTAACGCACGCGATTTCGCGCAACCGCTTTTCGATCGCGGACCTTTGTCCGTCGGCGTCTCCGCGCGTAGCCAGGATTTTTCTTCGTGTGAGGGGGGGGGGGGCTGATCAATTTTTACGCAGCTGTGGTTCAGTTTTTCGCGACCGATGCACAATATTATATGCATTAAATACCTACTACCACTGATGGGTAGCTGTAAAGTGTTAAATTTTTAAATATTTCTATTTTTTTAGCGATTTTCATGGACCATTAATATAATTTTCTTAACGTTTCAGCCCTCTCGACCCCCGCCCCTTAGCTGCGCCACTGCGTAGTCGACACGAAATCGCACGTTACAGGCGCTGTCCCCGTTTGCGATACAATAGTTTATAATAACGTGGACGCGTGTGTACAAACCAGTGATGTATTGGAGGGTATACGGGGGTGTACGGCGTATACCCAATACGCTATTTTTATACATGGCGTATAGCTTATAAAAAATTGATGATACGACCGTATATAGCGTATAGCTTGTAATTTGAAAAATAACTACATAATACCTTGACTAACCTAACTTGTGGTTATATTTATGACGTGATTCTGTATCGGATATATTATTATTATTATTATTTTTTTTTTTAATGAAAAATTCAAATTTGTTATAATTTAACAAGTTTTTGTTATTAAACAGTCATAATTAAGCATGTGTTGTTCATAAATGAGTTTTTTTGGTTCCTACCATGATTAAAGATATAATAGATATAAGAAATTAAAAACATTAAAGATATTATAGATCTCTAATCGTGATTCCTACCATATGATAGTTACTGCATGAAATAAGGCGTGTACCCATGATTGACTTTAGCAATACATCACTGGTACAGACCGATGGCTCGTGCGTAACGGTCCGTTCGACGAGGAAGAGACACGCGCTATGTACAAACGTGTGCGAACAGTGAGATTTCGAGCGAAAAAAACATTTTAATATTAAAGATTTTTATTTTAATTTTCCAGAAGACTATATATTTTACGCGAGCGAATGTGCAACGAAATAAAAATGTTTATCGCGACGACAACAATGTGGTTGTCGCGCGCAAGGGATCGGTCGGCGCGGAAAAACTCCGCGATATGATAATAATAACCGATGTAACGGACAATCGACGTGTAATGAACCGACTGCGAACCGCCCCGCAAGTCTCCTGGACCGAATCCGCCACTCCTCCCGCGCGCGCAGACCTTTTTGTTGCGAGAACGACACGCGGAACATTAATAATAATAACGATACGTACTCGCGAAACGTTGTACAGCGCGAGCATGTTTGTTGTGTACGCGCACAATAACGTGCAGCGGGAGGCCGCGAAGCCAGGTAGTGGAGATGGCGATGGTCGTGTCGCGATGACGATAATAAGGATAAGGATAATAATAATCGGCAGCTCCCATAGAAGACGTTATAGTAGTAATGTGCGCGGGGAAGAAAACGATGAAACCTTTTCGTGCATTGTGTAAACGCTCGTCGTCGCGTACGCGCTATTATGTACCTCGAAAACCGTCGCACAGCTATGCCCCCGCGGGTCTTGTGCGCACGACGTACGTATATATATATATACTTTTAAACGTATTATTACAATTTATTATTATTGCACGGCGGAGCTGAGCGCGTTATATTGCTTTTACCACTTCATTAAATCGCTACTGCCCCGTCACAATCGTCGATACGCACAAATAATAACAGCGCACACGTATTATATCACGTGCGTGCGTGCGTGCGTCACGTAAGGTTTGCCGAACGATATTTATATTGTCGCGGAGCGCCGCCGCCATTGTTGTCGTTTTTATTGTGTAAAGGCCGTATACAACCGAAAATGCATCGTTTATTTTTTTTTTTATCTCGTGTCCTGTCCCTCCACGCCGTGATGCGTATATCGCACACGCGCACACATGTACATTATATGTACGCGCGTTATTGTTATTAATAATCGTTCTATTGTGTACGAGTTAATTTTATTTCGCTTTTCGTTTGCGCGCGCGCGCGCGCGCGCCGTTTCGACGATGTACACGCACGCACAATGAACGGGCGAACCGGTCCCGGGGAATTTTCGCGCACAAACACACAGGGTTGAATGTAGTGGAAAATTGTGAAATCGAAATCACACGCGCCCGCTGCTCCGAACAATGGTCAAAGTGTATTGTAATGGTTTCGTTTTGTGCGCGTCGAACTTAACACGTCGTCGCGGCGCTAGCCGGGGCGGAGACACACCGTCGTCGCAGCAACATCAAGTCGATAAATTCGCGTTAATAAAAACACGGCCGAACGAGAGGGCCTCGTCGACCCCCTCAAAATCATCGGTCGCGGCATTTACCGGCTATGAGCCTACAGCGCCCCGACCATCGTTCTTCTTTTTCCGGCGCGGATCGAGTAGTGCACGCATTTTGACGACAGCGGTGATTTTTGTATTGCCGTGTTGCCTCGAGTTAGTGTTGCCCCTCCTTCCCCCCCCCCCGGTAACTGTAATCGCGATATGCAAATTATGCATATCTACGTACTCTCATCAGCCGTTGTTCAATGGAGAACTGTTGAAACTTTATTATCCTAATGTTGGTAAATTAGCGCACGGATGGTTTGGTTTACGTTCAAGTATGCCCGTGACGTTGTTTCACAACGGAATTGTTGTTGAAATCAAATGTTTATTCGATAACGTAAAAGTTATGTTTCGCACTTGACGACGAACTTTAAGACGGAAAATCCTTCAGTCGCGCGTTCGTTGTTCAGCAACGCCTTCGGGACGGTGTCTACGTTATCCTGTGGCGGCGTGAACTTTTTTTTCCCCATGAAGCAACTACCTTAAATAAGTACCCGCCCACCAATGTTTTTACACTTTTCGCACATTTCAAATGTAGGTTGAACCCTCCGAAATGTGCATCAATGTACGGTAAATTACAGCTATGCAAAGATAATAAAAAAATAATTTCTACCACATCTACCACGCAAAAAAAAAATTGTGTCTTGAATTGCCTTATGTTTGGCTAACCTCTGCACCATCAATTCATAATGGTACGTACATTTTTTGTAATGTGTATTTAATTCTGCAATTTGGTGTACTTCGCTAGGTAAAAATAAATACAGAAAATAATTATTCTAATTTAAAACGCTTCAGCGCTTGAGTGACCAGTTTTAGTTCTACAATTTATATATTTTTTAAATTTTATTATAATAATTGGAAAAATTTTTATTTTGTTTTGTTTCATTTTGACAATGCACTCAAACTGAAACATTTTACACCGTCTATCTTCAGACAGGTACCAGATAATATATGATAAGTAGGTACTTGGTTATTTTTTACTAATAACATTTATAAATATTTTTAAATTAATAGTTACCGCTATGGAAATTGTACCCAATATTAGTGAACACTGTTTAAAACAATCTAATTGATGTTTCTCCTTACACAGTACAAGCCATTCATTCTATGTTTAAAGAACTTCTTTATAATGCAGCGAAGGGTAGATACCCAATATTTACCTAGGAATGTAGGTTGTATGTGACAATATGAGTATAAATTATAAACTAGCCGTCCAGGTCCAGGAGTCATCGGGGATACCCACCCCTATATATGCGTGAGAGGCAGCTGCCTCATAAAGTAGCTATTCACGCCGCTACTGCCGACGGTGTCACGGGTTCATGCGGATTATCCGAAAGATTTAGTTCTTAACCGCGGTCGCAGCGGTGAAAACCGAACGAAACGATTGACAAAATTGTTCGAACATTCG